TAGTAAATTTTTTTACTGTTTTTCAGTGTATTCTGGGCATTTGGGAAGGTCTCCTGAGGTTATCTTTAAAAAACGCTTCTAAACGCGGTATGCAAATGCAGCTAAACAGACTTTTTTTAACCTACATTTTCCAGCAGTTTCCATCATTCAGAAGTGTCTCGTGTACATGGGGCCTTAAGCAGCGGTTGCCTGTGAATGATCGGCCCTTAATGCAGACTGTCTGGGTCAAGGACCATGCATTTGCAGCTAATCGCTCCACGAGCTGCGACTACCTGTTGGAGCTGTCGGTCTCACATTGCTTTCAATGGGGCGTCCTCCTGTAGCTGATCGCCAGGCGCTGAGGTTTCTACATGCAATCACACATGGTCCCATTGGTAGGTGTTAACGGGACCTTAGCCGGATTGTAATGTATTACATGGGAGCATGAAGGCCTAGCACGGACATGGGATTTAAATCTGACTGCACTTGCAAATTTTGAAAAGTTAGTGCGGCGCTGGGTTTAGTACGGCTTCTCATTCAAACAGTTTTGGGGCTCGCCAGACCTTACTAGGCTAGAAAGTAGTCTTAATTAGCAGCCATCTATGCCTCTAAAAAATCCATTACATTTGGAGGAGGAAGTCTGGGGTGTTATCTTTGATACATCTGAGGCACAACAGCAAGGGGTATGTCACTGTACAAGGACACTTCACAGTCATTCAGAATGAGCATGATGACTAAACACCCTTCTACATGATGAACATGGGTTGTATTATATTGAAGGCACTATATATGATCCAAAAGCTGCCTTCTCACATACAACATCTTGGATTGTAGTTCTGTTAGTCTTTAAAATGAAAGAAAAAAAATCTTCTGTTCTGGCCTTTATTTCAAAATGACTTGTGCGCTCTCAGTCTTTGACAAAATGTATTGCAATGGTGATCCTGTTAGTGACTGGTAATGTGTTCTATGTTCTGAGATGTATATTTCATGATGATGGAAATATTTTTGACTGATTATCTGTTCAATAAACAGATGAATTTTAGTGGTGGTTGAGTAACCTATTTTAATAGCATTTTCAGGGACATTTTATTGCCGAGCCAGTGAATTTCCAAGAATCACAGACCTTAAAAAAAAAATCCACACTAGACCGTGGCTGTCCATTTATAGGTCAGGCCTGCCAAAAAAGTCACACCGGAGAGGTAAGTCAGCCTTTGGTTTCTTGTCTCTACAAGAGAATGTGTCTGCAAGATTTTTTTCTGTTTACATCTCTTCCCTCATCGTACTTAAAAGGTTGCCACTCTCTCAAAACTGGATTTATTCCACTGTAAAGGATAGCTGTACTTTATAAAACTCAGAAATTACTTTACTAGATGTCAGGACACTAAGCAACCTTCGAAATAATTACCAATACCTTTTGCCTTTTATTTTTCAGCTTGTCTTCTGCACTGTAACTGCATATGGACAAGGAGTGAAAACAGGGAGAGATATCTGCTTGTCACACCAGTTTGGTTCAGTTCTGCTAAGAGACAAATTCTGCTTTCTACAAGATACTGCACTTACGTAATCAGCTTGTGGAGATCACAAACTGCATTAATTTTTATGCAGTGTAGAGAGAATTTCTCGAGACAAGGAGCCATTCTGCTTTCCATAATTGGTTGTCTCAGATCCCATGGAATGGATAAATATACGGGGCTTAACTAAACCTATGTAGGGGCTGCCTAATTATAGCAGTTTATGATCTCCTTTTAGAGTGTTTTGCTCTAAGGAGCAGGGCCCTCTGATTCCTACTGTATTCAGTTGTATTGTAACTGTACGGTTTCCCTCAGCGCTGTGCAAACTGTTGGAGCTATAAATCCTGTATAAGAAGAATTACTTGAAAGGATGGCAGGCCCTTTGATTGTAGGAACAGAGGATTTGACCAAAGCCTGTCAGGACAGGGAGGGCCCTGCCAAGAGATCATTACAGGCTTGCCAGGTACCACCAGTATGGATCGTCTTACCTTAGTATTCTTTGATGTGTACATCTATTTTGAGGTATTAACAGGATTACTTTTTCTGAAAAAAAAATATATAAAAATACTTAGATCTGGTTTTATATGGAACTTCCTCTCTCTTTTTGATTACTATATGTATTTATTTCAGGTACTTATATAGCACCATCAATTTGTGCAGCGTTTTACATATATATTGTACATTCACATCAGTCCCTAACCCTCGAGGGGCGTACAATCTAAAGTACCTAACTTACATTCATACATAGACATATTAGGGCCAATTAACCTACCAGCATGTCTTTGGAGTGTGGGAGGAAACCGGAGAACCCGAAGGAAACCCACACAGTCACAGGGAGAGACATGCAAACTCCAGGCAGGTGCTGTCGTGGTTGGGATTTGAACCACTGCCAGGTGGAAGTGCTAACCATTTAGCCACTGTGCTGCCCGCTATATCACCAGTCAGGTTTGAATTGACTGACAATGGTGGTTATGAATCTGACTGGTAGTTGTAAGAGACCCTTTAGTCATGTCACTTTTATACTTCAAGTTTTCCCTATGACATAGACAGCAAACATTTAAAGAGGAATCGAATCGTGCAGGAAAAAGGATACCCACTTGTAGGTAGTTTGATGCATACATTTCACCATTGAATCCATGAGAGATGTAAAAATGTGGTAGGTGATTCATCCACAAGTATCTACCTACAGTAAGTTATTGCAGGGTCATAGACTGCCTGTTACACATATATTTTTCAGTAAAGGCATTGAGAGAGTTGTCATGGATTACGGTTCAATTTACCATTTGTGAGCCCCAAAGCCACCGGAGGTGTTGAAATGGAATAGGCAAAAATCCTGTTGCAAGGTGAACATGATCAACTCCAGGAAATCCGCTACATTAGGAAGAGGGGGCTATAGGGACACTATTGGGATCAATGCAGAACATGAAAGGAATGTCACTGCAACTTATGAATCCTTCCCCTAAAGTTATCTGCATTTTTTAAAGCTGAACTCCAGCCCTCCCTTCAGTCTTGCTCAGTTGTACCGGCTCCTCTCCTGTACTAAAACTGCTTACTCTGACTTCACTGCACACTGTGAGCTTCTCGCAGTTTACATTAGAAATGGCTCCTGAAAGGCAAATTGAAACAAGTTGCTGTGATGTTTTCAGGAAGCTGTTTACAGTACCCTGCGCCCAGCATCTACAGCATAGCATAGAGAAGCACAGACACCCAGTGATGATGGTGCTGGGTCTAAAATAAAATGTTGATTAGTGTGTTTTAAGGGATGGGGTGGAACCAGGAAGGGCAAAATATGAGCCAATTTAACTCCAGCTTTAAATTCTAACTCAAGCTATTTTTTGCATAGAATGGTAAAGGGTTAGAAGCTGTCAAATGTTATCACTTTCTGTGCCCCAATTTGGCAATTTTTCATTAAGTCTGACTGGTGCGATGAGGTAGAGGGGGCTGTGGTCTCAACCCCCCCCCCCCTTTTTTTTTTTTTTTGGTGCTAGTACCTTAGGTACTGTGCCACTAAGTGTGTCTGTCTGATAGTGCCAGTGCCATTGCCATCTGCTCAAGTCACATGACACAGCCCGGGGGGAGGACTTCCCTCGCTCTGAACTACCTGCATCTGGTAAGGAGATCCGTTCTAAAGGAGTGCTGTGTTGGGGTAGGTGGGGGGAGTCTGATGAGGGAGGTTGGTACTAGGGGACTGTATTGGGGGTGCCTGTACTGGGGAGTGTCTGTATTGGGGTGGTCTGTTTTGAGGTGTGTATGTACTGGGGGGGAAGGGGGTTGTGTGTACTGAGGTGTGTTTGTACTATGCGGGGGGGGGGGGGGGGTCTGTACTGGAGGTGCGTCTGTACTACCGGCGGGTCTGTACTAGGGGGAATCTATACTATGGTATGTCTGTATTGGGGTTTCTGTAATGAGGGGTGACTGTACTGGGGGAGGGTCTGTATTAAAGTGTCTGTACTGGGGGGGTCTATGCTGCGGTATGTTTGTATTGGGGTTTCTGTACCAAGGGGTGACTGTACTGGGGGAGGGGGGTCTGTATTGAAGTGTGTCTGTACTGGGGGAATCTATGCTATGTCTGTATGGGGGTTTATTTACGGAGGGGTTTATGCTTTCTGTACGGAGGGGGGTGACTGTACTGGGGGAGGGTCTGTATTAAAGTGTCTGTAAGGGGGGGGGAGGGGTGTCTATACTGCGGCATGTTTGTATTGGGGTTTCTTTACTGAGGGGTGACTGTACTGGGGGAGGGGGGAAGTCTGTCTGTATTGAAGTGTGTCTGTACTAGGAAGGGGGGGGGAAGTGTGTCTATACTGAGGTATGTCTATGTCTGTATTGGGGTTTCTTTACAGAGGGGTGACTACTGGGGAAGGGGGGGAGTCTGTATTGAAGTGTGTCTGTACTGTGGAGGGGTGTCTATACTATGGTATGTCTGTATTGGGGTTTCTGTACTGAGGGGTGACTGTACTGGGGAAGGGGGAGTTGGGATCTGTACTGAAGGGAAGGGGTTGTTGGGAGGTCTGTACTGAGATATGTCTGTTTTGGGGTTTATGTATTGAGGGTGACTGTCCTTGGGAGGTTTGTTTTGAGGGGCACTGTACTGAGATGTGTCTGTATTGGGGTGGTCTGAACTGGTTCTATACGGGGGAGTGTCTGCATTAAGGTCTGTCTGTACTGATGGGGTTGGGGAAATCTGTACTATTAAAAAAACCTATCTGCCCCAGGTGCAAGATATGCTCTGTACACCACTGGATAGAAGAACCCACCGACAGGGACACCACAATAAAAGTTTTGGCTTCTAACAATTCTCTCTCTTTGTCCTGTTTATCTCTTTATTTACATGTTATTTTATTTATTGGTATTCTCTGATAATTAGCCTTTTCTTCGGACGTTCACATGCGAAATACATCATAAACAAAACAAGTGCAGAATATTTATCAGACCAATAATTTATTAGCATCATTGTTCCCCATTGGGGCATTTACAGCAGTAAAAGGGGCAGAGAGGGTTAAAGGAAAAGATTTAGGATTCTGTAACTTCTGAACTCCTGCGGCCAAAATCCATCCATCCAGCATAGTCACGATCACGCATGGGGTGAAGATGGTCCTCGGCGTTGGAGAGTTCTGGAGTGGTAAAACAACAGGTTACGGAAAGCAATTATGGGAGAAAAATTAAAGGGTATGGACTTATACAGTCATGTAAAAAAAGTATGTGGAAATGGTTGACATTTTAACATATTTGAGCTGGAAAATATTAGAACTTTTTTTTCGACTACATGTAAAAGGTGTCATTAGTTCAAGGATACGCTTTACAACAACATAGATTCATTCTCATATACTAAATTACCAAAATGCAGACTTGTTACACAGAAAGTATAACTCCTACAAATACAAATTAAAATATGGAGCTCCAGATTAGGTGCCAAGGATTAGAACCTCCATAAGGAGCAGAATGGTGGAACGTGTCTAATTTAGACCTCTGGCAAGGGATTGCTATATGGTCCAGGACTGACTGACTCAACAAATTCTGTCCAAGAGCTGACTGTTTCTAAGACCCCTCCATTTCAATGTAGAATCTACAAGTAGCTCTTGTGTGTAGTGTCACCATGTCACTGTCAATGGAACTCTTGAAGACTCTCAGAAAGAAAGATGTGGATGCCTTGAGTCTGGGAAAGGATTGCCAGTTGATCCAGGAGTGACTGACCCAGCAAATTATGCCCAAGAGGTGACTGGTGCTAAAAGACGTTTCTAAAGACCCTAAAATCGAATTGTAGAATCTGCAGGTAATACTTGGGTGTCAAAGTTCCTGTATCTACAATCGTTCAAAGTTCCTGTATCTACAATCAGAGAACACCCAAATCCAACCCGCAATGAAAGTGTGTCACGAATTGACCTTCTGGAACGGTGCGCCGTCAACTGATGAATCAAACATAGGGTAGTTTGGCAACACCCATGTTTGTCAAAAACCAAATACAGCATTTTAGAAGAACCTCATACTAACTGTGAAACATGGTGCTGAAAATGTTATGGTTTAGAGTTGTTCTGCTAGTTTCAGGGCCGGGGCAGCACACAAGTCATCAAGTAGAAACATACTTTCTGTACCATACCAACATGCGCTTAAATCTTAGATTGTAAGCTCCAAGGATCAGGGCCCTCCTAACCCTCTTGTATTGAACTGTATTGTCTCCCGTTCTATTGTAAAGTGCTGAGCAAACTGTTGGCGCTATATAAATCCTGTATAATAATAATAAAGCTGGACTTAGGGCACAAGGCAAAGAGCCGAGCTTTGAGAGGACCCAGCAGGTAGTAGTCAGTCTGTGGGGCTGGAATTCAGCTCAGTTGCTAGAAATTCACCAGCTTCAGTTACCTGTTGCCATGTTATCCAGTGCAGCTGCTGGAAATCATGGCTCACCAGAGGTTTGTAGGTGTAACGCCCACCATTTAATAGAGGTATCTCCACTGCTGGCTATTATAGTCAGGCAACCATGACACCCACAGCTGCCCGAATACCCAAAGAGAGTCCTGCAGAGTAGGAGAGGGAAAACATGTCAAGCATCAAGAATGTTCAGGCACAGGTGTGACGGTCATGAGAGCAAGAGGCCTATAGACACATGAACATTCACAAAGCTAGCTGTAAACATCAGCAGTACAGTGGCTAAATGGTTAGCACTTCTGCCTTGCACTACTAGGGTCGTTGGTTTGAATCCCAGCCACGGCACCACCTGCCTGGAGTATGCATGTTCTCCCTGTGCCTGTGTGTTTTTCCTCCCACACTCCAAAGACATGCTGGTAGGTTAATTGGCTCCTGTCTAAATTGGCCCTAGTATGTGAATGTGAGTTGGGGACCTTAGATTGTACGCCCCTTGAGGGTTAGGGTGGGACCGATATGAATGTACAATATATATGTAAAGTGCTGTGTAAATTGATGGCACTATATAGAAGTACCTGAAATAAATAAATAGCTGAATCCGACTCACTCAGGCATTGTAGGGGGGGTGTTAAGGTAAGGATTCAGTTATAGGGGGTGTTAAGGGCTGGTTTTAGGGGTCAGAGTAAAGTGTAACAGTCAGATTAAGGATCGAATGTTGAGGGTTTTTTTTTTTTTTTTTCAATACACCTCTCAACACCCAATAGCTGTTCATCCAAACTGCATGGCTATACTCTGCAATTTGAAAGTAGTGCACTATGTCCACTAGATGGTGCTATCATAGGAAATGTCCACTAGATGGTGCTATCATAGGAAATATTTATGCTCCTCAGCACCATCTAGTGGCCATACTACATTATGGCCAGTAAATGGAACTGACTATACCAGGAAATATCTGCAATTTGTTACATTTTTGTGTTTGGGGCGTATATACACTTTACATAACACCAAGCAGTGTATTAGGAAATCTCAACCCTCTGGCACTTGAACCTTCTGTAAATCAGAGCTGTGTTTCGTGTTGTATATTGCTTTGTTGCTGCACCTTACCTGAAAGCAGCTGGGGGAGAAGCTGTGACATGATCAGCTGCTTCTGTTCATGGGTCAGGGATGCTAGGAGGTCCCGTCTGCTGACTTCAGACAAGGCGTTCTTCCTCTGAGCTCCGTCCTTTGCTGATTCTAGCTCTGTCATTGGCCTGCACACGGCTGCTATAGCAAGCATGGCTAGCAGAATACTAACACAAAGCTTCTTGTCCATTTCTGTAACACAACAATGTACAAAAAGCAAACCTGTTAAAAATGACATAACATGTGACCCCCAATCCGAAGAGTAAATACAGTGATCTTTAACCAGTTGCCCGCCTGAGGATTTACCCCCTTCCTGACCAGGCCATTTTTTTGTGATTCGGACAATTGCACAGTCATGCAACGCTGCACCCAAATGACATTTATGTGTCCTTTTTTCCCACAAATAGAACTTTCTTTCGGTGGTATTTGATCGCCTCTGTGTTTTTTATTGTTTGCGCTATAAACAAAAAAAAGACAATTTTTAAAAAATATATATTTTTGACTTTTTGCTATAAAACATATCCAATAAAAAAAAAAATTTTAAAAATCAAAATTTCATCATAAATTTAGACCATCATGTATTCTGCTCCATGTCTTTGCTAAAAACAAAATCCCAATACGTTTAAATTAATTAGTTTATGTGAAAGTTATACAAAATGGCGGTGTATATATATAATAAATTTTTTTTTTTTTTTTTACTAGTAATGGCGGGAATCAGTGACCTTTAGCAGGACTGCGGCGGGCATTCTGACACTGGGTGGGAACTAACCGCCACTGACATCCCCAGTGACACCAATACAGTGATCAGTGCTAATAAAAAGCACTGACACTGTACCAATGACACTGGGCAGGAAGAGGATAACATCTTGGGTGATCAAAGGGTTAACTGTGTGGTGTGTTTTACAACAGAGACATGCTGCTTTGTATCTTTCTGCTGTGCAGAGAAATACAGAGCAGCATGTCCTTGCTGACAGGAGAGAGACCCGTGTTTTGTTTTGGGTTTTTTTTTTTTTTTTTTTTTTTTTTTTTAACACACAGGTCTCTGCCCTGTCAGCTTTCCTCAGTGATCACCGATTGCCAACAGGGAATTGGTGGCCGGGACCCGGTGATTTACATCTCTAGCCCCCAACATGCAGGCATGCCCCCATAATACAAAATTGTGTGTATATATGAATACAAAATTGTATATATATATATATATATATATATATGATTTTATATATATATAGCAGCCTGTAGCAGGACTTCTACTATAGGGTGGTGGGCAAGCAGTTAACAAAAACTAAAACACTTTTTTTCAATCTTAATCATAAACCATAATCCCCCCTCCACCAAACTTTACACTTGGCACAACCGTTCTCCTGGCAACCGCCAAACCCAGACACGTCCATCGGATTGCCAGACAGAGAAGTGTGATTGGTCACTCCAGAGAACACGTCTCCACTGCTCTAGAGTCCAGTGGTGGTGTGCATTAACATCTGGGATGATCAAAGGGTTAACTGTGTGCTATGCTGTGTTTTACTAGGGAGACATGCTGCTGTGTATTTCTCTGCTGTGCAGAGAAGTACACAGCAGCATGTTACTGCTGGCAGGACAAAGACCTGTGGTGTTTACACACAGGTCTCTCCCCTGTCACTGTTTCTCAGTGATCGCCAGGTGCTGGCGGAGAATCTCTGACTGGGACCCGGTGATTGACATCTCTAGCCACCAATGCTGGCGTGGGTAGGGCAGTGCACACCCCCTACCCGGATTTGCAAATTCACTATATTATATATATATATATATATATACACACACACACACACACACACACACATTTTTTGCGCAGCCCTGCTGCTTTATAGCAGTAGTTCTACTATAGGGCGGTCAGGAAGCGGTTAAGATACCCAAAAATTGTGGTGCAAGTAGTAACACCCCAGGAGTGCCACCGATATCCTCTCTCTGCTGAATAGGAAGGCAAAATGAGGCAGGCAATGAGCTAGACCAGGAAGGTGGTCCTTAGCTCCTTTAGGCAGTCTGTTGGTTTCAACTGGACAGATCCTGTCTGGTAGATTTGCAGTGTGAGAGAAGGGTCATCATACCCAACTGGAGAAGGAAGCAGAGACTGTATATGTAACATACAAAACACATGAATAAGATGATTTCTCTTAAAGCCCAACTCTGTGCAAATTTCTGCGAAAAATGTAGAAGGGCTAGAACCTCTGCCAGGTTTTTATGGTTGCCAGTTCCTCTACTGGAGATGATTATTACAGGTACTTTTAGAGCACTGTCAATGTACTCAGCACTTTACATGCATATTGTACATTCACATCAGTCCCTAACCCTCAAGGAGCGTACAATCTAAAGCCCCTAATTTAGGATGTCACCAAACATTATCTGTTATGAGACCAAACGTTCAATTCACAAAGCTTTTAACAAAAGGATATGGAGGATCATTATAGCCAGGTGACTGCAATTTTCAATCCTATTGGACTTGGCTGAAAAGAACTGTCACTTTTTAAATATTAGTATCCTTCTCCTGGTGTGTTAGTTTTTTTTATATGGAGCCTATAGAGTTTAATATGTATGTCGCCATCTACAGCAACTTACAAGTATTGCAGCCAATCAGGCTCGTTATATTTGTTGTGCAGCTCACTAAGGGTGTTGTTATGTTGACCTGAGATAATAAAAAACAAACAAACAGTCTCCACTCCCACTGGAGAGATTCCTATTACTTCCTGTCCTGGTGACAAAGAGGTCAGAGGGATAGGAAGTGAAAAGGAAATCTCCCTAACAATCAGCAATAAAAACAAGGAGAGGTTCCAACACTTCTCTGCTTAGGACCAAAATGCTGTTATGGTTGGAGCTGGGATTAAAAGTATATATGAACCTCTATTGTTTTTTTTTTTTTCTTAGTTGATCTTTTAGCTCTGTTAAATATACCACTAAAAAAGTGGGTTGTTAAGTTGGTTTGAGAAATTTAAAAAAAAAGTCTGAGCATGTTAGAAATCCAGCTCTGTCCTATCTTCTGTGCCCTCTGCAGTCTTGCATAGTGCTGATCCTTGGGCTACAGAACACCTCCCCCTTATGTAAGCAAGATGAGAAGATGGGGTGGGGGATGTGTTCTGAAGTCCTAACACTTACTGCCCTAGGGTGACAATGCTTCGCCTCCATAGATACAGTGCAGTCAGTGAGCATTGTCACCTAGGACACAGGTGTGTGACTGCCAGTATCATCAGGCCAAACAAAGAAAACTAATGCAGACATCACATTTTAGGACTGGGAAGCTGCAGTAATTTTTTTTCTTTCATTTACATACGCCTAAAGCTTATCTCGTTTACATAAATAAATGATTTATATAAATATTTAAAAAACGTGTGACACACACACACACACACACACACACACACACACACACACACACACACACACACACACACACACACACACTTTATTATTTAAAAAAATTTATATATTTATAATGGGAAAAAAATGTTAAGAAATAAATAAAATTATATATCTGTCTATCATACATACATACACACTTTTTTATTATCTAAAAAAATATTTTTATATAAAAATATTCATTTATTTATGTAAAAGTTAAGCTTTAGGCGTATGTAAATGGAAGAAAAAAATAATTATTATTGCAGCTTTCCAGTCCTTAGATGTGATGTTATATAAAAACACTAGTTCCCCTTTAAGATCAAAAATCCTTGTATCAAAAATTTTCCCTTACAAATTTCAAGAACGACATCCACTAGCCCCCTAAACTTATTGTATTTAAAAGTATTGGACAGATACCTCATCTGTAAAAAGGTCATTTGACCCCAAACCGGACCAGTTGAAGTTGGCAGTCAACGAGGCTTCTGCACCTTTCTTATGTGCTTTATCCTATGCACATTTTAAAGTTTTTACTTTTTTTTTTTTTTCTTTTTTTAATTTTACTGCATGAAAACTGCAGCAGAAGGAAGGAGACTCATTTAGCTGTGTCATATGGATCAAGACTCTGTGGTGTTAAGTAGCACCGCCTCATTAATTGAAGCATTAAAAAACAGTTAAAAAAAAAACCCAAACACTGTAAATGTACAAAACGAAAATGGTATTTGCAATAATCACAATTTCCAAGTCATCCCACTGAATAAATACACAGCTGAGCAGTCTATCGCCCCCTGCTGTTCACACTTGGCTCACCTGTTGCAGTGGTCCTTCAGAGCCTGGATGGTGCCGCTGTGAAAGATGTTGCTGACTGTCTGCAGCATCCCCATCGCCTTTTATCCTAGGCAGTGATGGCTGATCCCACCCACCGATCATCTTTCTTCAGGGCCCCTTCTGTTTGTGATGTCACTGAACCCCCTGCCCTGTAGCTGGATGGAGATTAACTATTTGTCAAGAGGATCACTTATCACAATAGCAGACGGTGTAATAAAACTGAACAATTAAGTTTCATTTCATTACCTGACACTTAGACGCCAGACCTGCACGCTACAGAAAATCTCAGAAATTGTTTTAAGTTGAATTGGAGAAAAAAAAAAAAAAGGATTTTAACTCTTCTCATCCTGGCTGCATTTTAATGCCAACGATTGCAAAAAATTTGACATTTTTCTTGCTTCTCAAGTACAGAAAGGGTTTGTTTACCAAGTATATTGATCTGTGGTCAGATGAGCACCATATCCAGCCTTAGTAGAAAAAAAAAAATTATATATTTTTATATATATATATATATATATATATATATATATATATAAAAAATAAATAAAAAAAAACTTGTGCATTCAAGAGAAGAGTATTTTGGCAGAAAAGAGAAAAAAAAAAGCATTTTAGCATTTTTTTTTGTTTCAGTGGCCAGGATAACTGAATATTCTGGCTAGTGAAATAAATACCTAAGTGTTTGACGAACCTAAATGCATTCGTAAAAATGTGGCAAAATGCGTGTTTGAATCAGCTTTTCTCTTGCCAGGAGCAGAGCGACTACAAAAGTCCCAGTGTACACGAAGCTTTAAAGTCTATGGCAGCTCTAACAATCAGCTTCTCCTTTTTAATCTGTTAAATATATCATTTGAAGTGTTTCCTTATATCCATTTGATAATATACCATAAAAAAAATAAAAAATACAAAAAAAACAAAAAACATGTTGACCAGAAATTTTAGCACAATGTAACAAGAATTCAAATGGAACAACTTTATTCCATTGAAAGTCTAGTACAATCC